AAAAGGAAGTGCTGAGCATGGTAGCCCCCAGCAGGACCGTATGGCGATTATTGTTGGAAACTTTGTTGTTGGAGGAGGATAACACAAGAGCTTTTTATGATTTAGGGCACATACTATTGAGGCACCATTTAATATTGAGAAACTTTATTACAGGGTGTTGATGTTGGGAATTCATAATTTATGATGTAATATTATACCTGTGATAGATACCTTAGGTTATTAACAAATATCAGTAACGTAAACAAATAAGGACCTTATTTACATAACACTAATATATTACATTGTACATGTAAATGAAAAATCACCTAATGGGTACTGTGTTATAGTGCATATTAAGTTTTCATTAACATCTGCTGGAGCAAGTATTACACTGGTGCATTATACAGTTTTCTTGGACAAAAGTTTTCACTATTTCTTCATGACTCAAGCCTTCTGACACATATACAAGTTTTATTACCCAACACACCATACATGGTTAACTTTGTACAGTAATAATGTAAGCAGGCTGGTAGACATGTACATATTCATACACTTTATACATAGTTACATATCAACATAGAATACATAATTTAAAAAACATATTCATACAAACGATATTTTCATTATCATATTCAGCAGTGCTATCTACAAATGTATAATGATGCTAGTACTGCAATAAAGTCATATTGCATATTAAAGAAATTCTTCCTGCCATACATATATATATGTCATTGAGCTGGCATTTCTTGCTTTGACTTTCCCCTCCAGTTGGGTCAAGCAGGAACATCTAGTACTAAGGATTGTTACCTTTTTCCTATATCTAACACCATCAAACCATTTTGTTGAAGGTGACACAAAAACTGAAATAAAGAGGCTTAATTGCAAATGTCTTAAATATCACACTATCAAGTCTAGATGTTACTGTGTTCAGATTGTTTTTGTGCCGTCGCTGGGGTGCCCGACACTGTGCATGTGCTGGGTCATCTCCAGGACTTCTCTGTAGCTGGAAGTCAAGCCTGACATGTGCAGGAAGTACTCATCCTTCTCTACCTGAACTGTCAGGTTCTGCACTCCTATATCCTTAAAAACTGCACACACCTGCAGAAGGGGAATATACAATCACTCTTGAGGTCTGCATCATGAAATAAGTGAACCACTTAAGCTCAATGAAATCTTGACCAAGAAGATAAATGCTATTTAAAGTTATGCAGGTTTGTTATACGCATCCTCCCATGGCAGGGGCAGCGGCTCCGAATTCCTTCTCCACCCCTACCCCTGCCGTATAACATGGCATCTTCTACTCTACGACCCCAGGAATATTAATATTCATGAGCTTGCCTTATTTGGCATGACCCCATTTCTGACTTGGGCGGCGAAGGGACGTCACCCTCCCCGCCGGCGACTCCGCCGCCGCCCGGTGACGAGCCCGTTAACGCGTTGGGGAGGCCGTGCGGGGCAAAGTCACCGAGTTAACACCTTCCCCGTGCTCGGCGGGATCCGCGCGCAGCCTCCAGCACACGCTAGCGCCCCGCCGACGCCCGCAGCGGCCTGCATCGCAAAAGTTCTCTTCCCGAGACGACGCCATGTTTGTTTTTATTTGTCACTGAATAGCCGACATGATTGGTTCCGATAGCTAGCGCATCTCATAAATATTAATGTAAAGTGCGTTGAAGATTTTCTCTGTGATACGTGATTGGCTGAGAGCGTGTCCCTGGAATCGGGTCGCAGAGTAGAAGATGCCATGTTATACGGCAGGGGTAGGGGTGGAGAAGGAATTCGGAGCCGCTGCCCCTGCCATGGGAGGATGGTTATACGGGGAAATTGCCCTCGCTCTTTTCAATAAGTACAATAAACAGTGGTTTAATTTGCCATCCTAGGACTGCAACCCTTTCCAGTAACATGCAAGTTGGGTGAGAGACAACAGCTGGGATTAAAAACTCTTGGTCAAGAGGCAGCTTGGGAGTGATAATTAAGAATTTTTGCAAACATCACAGACAGGCAGTGAGATACCACAAGACCAGGATGGGACTCACTTGGCTGACTATCCTTTGATCTGGAGTCTCTGGGGTGACCTGGACATGGATGGTACCGATGGTCACACTGGAGGAGTGCTGCCAGAAATGTGGATCTCTATAGGACAAGACTCCATCCATTGTCAACACCTGAAAATGTTATTTAACAGAGGTTTAATAAATGTCTTGACAATGAAAATAAACAATAAGTAAAAAAAACAGTAGTTTATTGTGTTAATCAAACAAGAAACCTACAGCAAGAGGCTGAATTCCATCTTGTTGCATCTAGTGTCTTGATAGAAATACATTTTGTATAATGCTAAAGAAAGGGTATGTCACCCTGTAACTTAGGGGCAGTAGAGCCCTGACCAATACGGTCAACCAATGATGATGATGATGATGATGATGAGAAACATTACATATAGGTTATTTCATGTGGCCAGATTTTTGCCACTGTTCAAAAAGGAAAACCTATTGCTGTTGGTGCATATTTTGTTTCTATCAGAGCTTTTTTTTCTCACTTTGTTCAAAGCTTCGGCTATGTCTTGTTCTTTACACCCTGGAGTCCTGAGTAGCAGTATGAGTGAAGAGTCCTTCAACAGTGGCATCACGCTGGCAAAGATCATCAGGGCAATGAAGATGGAGCAGATAGGGTCTGCTATCAGCCAGCCAAACTGCTCGATGAGAAGGGAGGACACGATGACTCCCACACTGCCCAGGGTGTCTGCCAGCACGTGCAGGAACACACCTGTCAACACAACAACAAAGCAATCAAATCTTTTTGTACGCCATGCCATGTGGCACATTGTATGTTAGGTTTCTATTAATATGTTTACCTACACTATTGTTAGAAAGCAGCAACTGCAGCAATGTACATTTTGTAATATAAAAAGTAATGTTATGTTAGATACTACAGGAAACATCATTAAATATGTCAGAAAAATGCAATCTCTTGTGTTAAGTTCTACATATACATAGATACAAGTAAATTGACAAGGTTATGACATGACATAAGAAACTATTATTCAGTGTTCCTTACAAATCTTCTCAACAAGCCTTGGCAAACATTGGTAAAGCATTATTATTAGAAGTCTTGAAAGAAGGGTTAGGAGAGTTACAGGAAGCAAACATCAAGGGCAATGTGGCATCCAGCAAAAAAACATGAAGGAATTTCTGACTACCTGAAAAAGATTACATGGCGCATATTTGAGGACTTCTTGCATGCTTCCCAAATAACCCTAGTACAAGCTGTTACAACACACCGTCAAAATACACCAAAAATGTTCAACCTAGCATTATGAATGCTGGTACATGTAAGCAGGAAGATCTGTTTGAACAGCAGGATAACATGATTACTTGATATCACACATACATGTTTATAATGCAGAATAAGAGGCCACAGAGCTGTAGCTGCCAAGTAGCAATGTAGAAGTGTACACAAGGTTGAAGTATTATCAACTATTCAGCAATCCAGACCAATCAACAAGCAAAAATTGAAATGATTCTAACCAATCACAATGAGGCCATCTATCAGATTCAGAGGGAAATCAGGCAATCACACAGACTGAAAGATTAAGACATGCCTGACGTTAAGTCTGGGGGCACTCAGACTACAAAAGTCTTGATCTCTACAGAAACAAAAGGTTTGTGAGACAACAGCTTCTTCTTATCTGTTTGGTACCTTGTAGGTTGCCTACACGATGAAGAAAATGGGTAGGACAAATGCCTGTAAAACAAAATTAGATCTGTATGACTCTCTTAGATCACAGTAACTTAAAAGTGCAGTCATGTGCTGTATGATTTTTTGTGGTACAGTGACAGGATTGACCATCAACAAGGACCTATGACAACAGTCACACTAACAATGCCCTAAATTTTCTCTCATAAACCTGTCATATGACATTGAAGTTCATGTAAAGGGATTAACTGGTGGGAAGACTTGAATGTCTGTAAATTCACAGGGCTTACCGTCTTCTAAAACAATTTTGCTGCAATGTTGAATATGGGACCACTTTTTTCATCCAAATGCATGAAACTGATCTATTTTTGAGTGTCTTAATCATGATGAATGATATGCAGTAATGACATCTAATGAAATGAAAAGTCTGAACAGAAACAGGAGTCAAAGCAGACAGTTAACACAAAATGAGTCATATACACATGTATAGTGTTTGATAAGAAAGGCTTGCCTTTCATGTTAGCATTAGCCCCTCCCGCGTGGCTGTGCCCATGGTTGTGTCCATGAGAATGACCGTGACTGTGACCATGCTTCTTGTCGTGGGAGTGTCCATGGTCGTGTGAATGTCCATGGCCTGCCGCATGGCTGTGTGCATGACTGAAGGCCAATATTCCAACCAGGTTTACCAGAAGCCCCAGGATAGAAACAGTCTGAAAAAATGAAAAAGGTAAAATCAAACTTTTCCTCTTTTTCTCCGCTAAACCAATGGTACAAAAGTACATTGTTTTAAGTGTTTGTACAATGTACACATGTATTTCTATACAATGTACACGTATTTCTATCAACATGAACCAGCTTGTGTGACTCACCAGTAATCTCTCCATATGATGTATGTCTGGTGGATCAAATAACCTCTGGATCGCCTCCGTGAAAACAGAACCAGCTATAACCACCAGGAACAATCCATTCACAAAACCAGACAAAATCTCCACCCGCCCATAGCTGCAGAAAAATAAGTTCATGTTTACCACATATACATATTTCTACTAATTGTTTTGGAGATTGTGTTTCAAGTATGTTTTGGTTAATGATAATATCATGTTCTTTATTGTTGTTAAGCTAGGCAATGGGGCCACTCAGTACAGTTTGAATAGAGTATGCCTATTTCACACTATCAATCATGACACTTGTAAAATGTCTTCAGAAAATGTTTTTACTTGTGAAAATGAAAAGCAAAGTCTCACCCATAAGAATATAACCTTGTGGCCTTCCACCTGGCCATGAGAGCTGCGTACAGACCCATGACCAGAGCTGTGCAGTCAAACAGCATGTGGAAGCCATCCGAGATCAGACCCAGACTGTTGGTCCACACACCATAGGTCAGCTCCACAAAGGTGAACACCTACAGACAAGGAAACGGAACAGCTATGATCTGTCTTTGCTGTAAAACTCTTGACACTTACTGATACTAACACTGATACCAGACACCTATACCTACAGCAATGAGAACATTGGCATATGGCTAAAACAGTATTTTACAGTACTGTAATACATCAATACACTACATATAAACAAGCATTATCCATATCACATGTACCATATCACCTGCTACACATATACATGACTAACCATTAGTGTATTTTTGTGACCCTCAAGCCCTTCATGTGTTTAGGTGAAGTTAAACTTAAGTATCTTGTACATCACATCTTCTTGGTCTCAAATCAAATATATTGCTAGCAAAAATACTCTACTACAACTCACCAGATTAAGACACAGGAAGTAAAAGATTTGCCTGGAGTCGTATTCCTCCAGGATCTGCCTCAGCCCGTTCCTGACAGTGGTCATGATGGACTGTTGCGTGAGGCTGAGGTCATCCCCAGTGAAGTTAAAGAGTGGCAGACCGGCAGAGCTGTACCCAACAAGATTTCCTTTTGTCTTGGAGGGAGGGCTGCACAGGATCTTAGTGGCAATCATGAAGATGACAGCAGACAGGACAACTCCACCGGACATGGCGTGCTCGTATCCCAGCACCTCCACTACATCTTTGTTCATGGTGGTCAACCCTTTCCTGTTGGCATAGGAAGACATTTCAGTAAAGATCCCCTGAACTACTTCTCATTATCAGCCTTGACCAACATATGGGCAGCTTTGGTTTGGTGTTGCTCTAGCAGCCTCCTTTGGAACTGCAGCTGCATGTTGGTTGGTAAGTTTGTTAACATGATATAAACTGAAAGAGGCAAAGTTTTGTGCTTTTTTTCCTTACATGCAGCTTCTACCAGTCACTAGTTGTTTTTAAGATTTATTTATCACATAAAAGTTATGACTTCATTTGTATAAGTCATAGCTTATGAGGAAATGCTGTTATGGCTATACCTCAATGCTTTCTTCATGACAGCTGCATACATGTTCATGTAGCTTTAATGTATAATACTAGTACCTATAACCTACCTGTAAGGATGCCCCCATACTGTACTGAGCAGTAGTGCAGCCACAAAGATACTGACACTGCCAACCCAGGCCACTCTAGGTGCCTCCAGCTTGTTAGTGCAGATACTCTCCACATAGTAATCCAGCACAAAGACAAACAGCACCACCACAAGAAAGGGTAGGACCAGTGACAGCCACGTGTGGTCTACAGTCTGAAATAGTGTTGTCATTATTGTAGATTCAATGGCAAAATCTAGTTCCTATTTTTAGACACACATTCGAAACAAATTCGTCTCATCAAAGAACATGAATTTTGTTATCTGTTATCACACATATTACATTTATACTGAACATGGATGCATGTAGCTCAGTGGTAACAAAAGTTGACTGTTGTACAATTTATATGTAGTGGAGGGAAGAAATTAGATGCAGTTTGGGTGGTGAGGCCTAAAAATTGCAAATGGGAACTAGAATTTATCAAAGCCAGACTCTACAATTTAGAAGCAAATGAGAACATGCCACACGGTATCATACTCTACACATATAGGAAATGCATAGTCAATGAGTTTATGTCTAGGAAAATGTACCAGAACACTTTCACAACTGGTTAACGTTCCAGATTCTCCAGTTGCTTCATACCTGGTAGAAGGACAGGAAGAATGCCCAAGGACAGAGCAGGCCAGCTGACAGCAGAGTGGACAGGCTATGTAGTCTCTTGGCTCCGCCCACATCTAAGGACAGTCGCTTGGAAGCATTTCTGTACCCCACATTCGCACACAGCACCAGGAATAACAACACAACTCCACTCTGGAAACAAGAAATACAAGTTGGATCCTTTAACAATGGGGAAATGCTACAATTTGCAAACGTCATGTGTCCTTTAATATTCTACTTGCTGAAGTAGCCCTTTGGCACCAAATTTGTATTGGTTCCTGGATTAGGCATCAGGGAGAAGGTTAATTTGCTTGTAACAACAGTACAACTACTTTACACTGTCTTCTATTAGTTCCTAGATAAGTCAAGGTGGAAAGACTGGTGACAAAAATGTCAAACTTTTGAATTTGAGGTACATTTGCTGATCTGTGACTCAATATCCTTTATTTTACTAAATTTTAGCACCTAATCAGAAAACTACCTGGTAATGTATCACCAAAAAACAGGCCCCTTATAGTACCACATTTCTAAATCACATTTCCATAAACCTTCAGGGAGTAGCCTAAAATGTTATGACCATCTATGATTTTTCATAACTATCATTTACGTGGCTGCTACACAATGTGGTACTTTCACACTAACCTTGTGATCTGACAGGCCCAGGGATGAGATGACATAGTACACTGCATGGAACAAGGTACTGTCGTGATGGCCCTCAGCTGAGAAAGGTCAAGGTTTAACCAGAGTGTCCAAATGTTTTAAAGTACAGAAATGCTTGTCTGTTATATATTTATAATATGTATGGAAGCTGTTACCTTTTAAGGGTTTACTTTTTATTGCTATCAGTGCAGTCAGTTATTGGCTACAATATGTTTTTGTCTGAATCAATCAAACAATCAGTCAATCCACCAATGAAGGATACGATGCTGTGGCTGTGGCAGATCTGGGAACTCGTCCATGTCAAACAGCAACATGCACACAACAGCTAACAAAAACAGCACAGCTCCTCGGGTCTATATGGAAAGAAAAACCTACTTAAACAAAGTTGTTTAAAAGAAACATGCTTGTATTTCACACAAAAATTTTGGGATCAACATGAAGATAACTTCCTACATCCAATGATTCCATTCAGTCCTGTACATCTTTGTACCTGAGTTCCTGTAAAGATAGCCTCAGACAGCAACAACCAATTTTGTTTTTGTATAGACTTGAAAAATCATAAAGTTCTTTTACTACACCATATTCTAATTTCATCATAAGTTCAGCAGTCACCTTTGATGTTCCTCCTCCCT